CCCCCTCCCCCCCCCCCCCCCCCGCCCCACACCTGGGAACATCATTTCTTATTAAAATTGCTTATTAAAAATTTGAGGGATGTCTTATATATGACGCTCTGTAAGACAACAGAAGCATTATCTTTACTAAATGGACAAGCAATGATAAATGCAGCTGCCCAACCTCTCCCACCCAGCCACTCCTGCCTAATTACTAAGCATTGTCTAGCAATCTTTAGAAAGGGAAAAGAAGTTAGTAACTTTTGCCACATCATTAATGGAGTCAATTTTACACATATATTGCTATATTATATTTTGCACTATTTTATATGCTGAACTGGGAGCCAAATTGGGTCATTACATCAAACAACAAAACTTTGCAAATATTTAAATAACATGTACATAACTTTTCTGTTATGAATAATCTCCTGAAATCTTTGGAAACATTCAGGGTAGTTAAGTGTTTGCCTATATCTCCAATTACATTTCTCAAACCCATTATGAAGATATTTGCTGAAACACTTACTGTTCAGCTGATGCCCTTAATTCATACATTTCACAATAAAGGTACGTGCTCAAGATGAGAGAGAAAAGTTTCAAAGGCCAAACCAGATTACGCTATCCCTTTCTATAGAGCCAGCATAACTGGGGCACAGCCATATCGGTGCTGGGCAGTACAAAGTTTTGTTCTTATGCATTGGTGGAAAACAGAGAAATACTCTTGGGTAGTCTTAGCAAACAATAAGGTCTCATTTGGGTCCAGGCCATGTACTGACATAACGTAAATAACAGTTAGTATAAAGAAGAGAGCCTAGCAGCTGGCTGTACCATAATATACGGCCCGGCATTGGCCAGGTACAGCTTATGAGCTGAGACATATTAACTGGCTGCCCACACGCTTGCAGCCTGCTGAAAAGGCTAGGTGAGGCTTAGCTGCCTCAATCAGTCCCTTTGGACCTTGTGAACACTACCTTTGTTACACAAGAATTATTTTGTAATACTCCATTTATCTCTCAAAACAAGTAAGTGGTGGCTATACCTTAAGGGTCTCTAACAAAGTTAAGTGACATGAAATAATCTTATGTTTTTCACCAATATTGTTTTGTTAGATTGATTTTAATCTCAAAAAATATGATCCAAGAGCAGCGCAAGTCTATAGAAATATTTAAAATACTCTAAAAAGATTCTGGTTTGTTTTTGCAAATTATCTCTAACAAGAGTCTCATACATCCTATCTAAGATCAATGTTTTTATCCTGAGGAGTTCACCGTGCTGCAGCTGCCATTTGCTTTGTCCTTCTTTAGGATGTCTGAGAGAAAGGACTCCCTGCTTCATATGAGGACAATGAATCTACTCTGTCTTGTCATAAGGATGTGTGAGTCATCCCCTAAAAAAAAGACAATAGCCATTGACTTGTTCCAGTGTGTGCTTTGTAGTTGTCACCCCACTGTGTAGGAAGATTGGCGTAGTTTTGAACCAAGAACCTGAGCTAAGAAAAATAATGATAGAGGCTTTTACTGAACAGACAAAAAGCCGTGAAAGAGCAATAAATACTAACACAGCCTTTTCAAATGAGAATTATCAGAACTCATAAGGAAAGAATGATTAAAAAAAAAGATGAGGCAATGACATAGAAGAGTTGTTTATTAACAACCATTATTTGCATATGCGTTAAAGTGTGCTTTAATAACTATACCATTTGACCTAAAACTCAAGATTTGATACAAGTGGAGGAGAACCGAGCTCACATAGGTAAAGAAGGATGAGACAAACATAAGGTTTCAGTATAACGGTGTAAGTATGGCTGTAGTGATGCTCGTATCTTTTCTATTCATTCACCAGAATTTAATAGAGAGGAAAAATATGAGCACATTGAGTCCTGCTATGTAATAGTTTTGTTGGAATTGTAAAGGTAAAGTCTTCTTTGATTTAGGGTTTTACTACAATTATGAAGATGTAGTTTCATAACAAATTTGTTATAACCCTTTGGCTGTTCTGCGTACCTTGGTCTTACACATTAAGTACAGTGGTGAATCATTAAACTGCCACCCAGTTCAGATCACCATCTAGATTTCACCCTTATAGTTCTCTTCCCTCTCAGAAACATGCCACAGAATAAGCTCCACAGCTCTGTGCAATTCCCTTATCAAAGCGATAAGTGACAGGGCAGTGGAGTTTGACCTATGCTTCTTCCTTTCAGAAGCTTTGAATACACGCCAAAAGCAGGAGGGTTGCAACAGTGGCTTTGTTTACCCATTTACATCTTCTTCATCATATTATACCTAAGTAGATCAACCTTAAAGAATAATGAAAGTCACAGCTTTGTTTATTTCACTTTTCTAAGCTTCTGAATGTTGCAAGAAAGGTACCAAAGGTCTATTGATTCAGGCGGGGCTGTCCTGAAAGCAGCCATTGAAATCTACCCCCATCTGCCTTGGCCACAGTCCAGAGACAGCCTTAATTATGTGCAACCCAGCACTAAAGGATGTTAGCACAGGTGCCAGAAACATCACGGCAAAGCACCTCTGTGATGAGGTGCTCTCCGTTGTTACCTGCCTTGTGCTCTGCCTCTGGTTTGCCCCATCTTGCCTGGTCACCAAGAGGGCAGCTGGAGAGCAGCCTGGCTCACGTAGGCAGCCACAGACAGTGGCAGGAAATAGCACTTCTTCAAGGCACCCAGCTCTCCAAAGAACTTTCTGGCAGCTCCCTGCTGATGGCGTGGCAGCCAAGGCTATCCTGGTATCTCAATCCAGCATGCACCACCCACAATATTCATTACTGTAGAGGAAAACAGGGGGAGAGGACTTGCAGATGGCCAATGGCTTGATAGCTTTTGGCTTCTGGAGGCTGCTTTCGGACAGTTAAGACTGGTGCTGCATCAGGAGTTTATATAGCGATTCGTCCTGCCCTTAGCCCACTGATGACTGCAGATGTTTTCTGCAAAGGTTAACTGCCAGGCCACCTCTGCAACCTCCAGGGCACTGACCTAGAGGTGCTGTGCCATGCACTGAGGAGAAGCTTGGGATTTTGCAGCCCGGAATTGGATGATGTAGCCAGGCACTTTTAGACTGACCCCCCTTTTCTGTTCTGGGGCTTCTAGATGTTGGTGCCCATTAAATACTGCCCTGCTTTGGAAGGCACCATTAGCTTCAGTGAGGTTATCTTGCTGCTGTTTCTAGTTGGTCTTCCTCCTGCAGAAACGCAGCTAGATGAGTTTACACCTTTGCTTGATATGAGGCAGAGCTATGCTACTACCTAAAAAAGAATATAGCCACTTCTTTTGACCTTATTCATTGTCTATAAGGAAAAACAGACATGGAACTTTGAAGCTGTTTTCCAAAATTGCTTTTGTTTGGGAGTGAAGTGCCAGGTTAGGCTGTAATAACAATTATACTGTCATAGTAATAGGATAATAAGGATTTGTATAAGTTTTTCAAAGGTGAGTGAATTAGCTGGTGAATCACAGACATAAGAGAGGGCTGATTTAACAGCAGATCTGGACCACAACGAAGGAAATATTTCAAATCTACAACATTTTGCTCAAGAAGACCTCTCTAAAGAACTAGTCTCAGAATATTCAAACATTATGTATGAGGATCCACATGCAGTTGAAAGAAGCATTTTTTTTTATTTCTTCCAGTAGTGCATGATTGTTCAGGTATTTTTGGCTGTATACAACCCCCTCCACATGAAACATTTCATTATGCCATGCAACATTTAATCTCCATCTCAGAATATTTGAAGTAATAGAAAACAGGACTTCAAAGAAGGCTTAGGAGAGACAACAGTGGTACTTGCATTCAAGTATTTTGCCTATTAACAGTTGGTACAATGGAAACAGAAACCATTATCAAGCATTTTCAAAGGTGCTACTTCCACATGAATGGCGAATAGAAATACATATATTGCATTACACTGAGATTCCCTTTAGAGATGCAACAAAATACCTTTCAGAGGTACTTAGACGACCTCCAGTACTGAATATCATGCAGCACACATTGTGTGATGTACTCATAGCTCCTCTATTGAAAGGAAGGACTGTTGATCTTAATTTACATCTGGGGAAACTGGAAACAAACTCAAGCTTGGTATGGAGTAAGAACTGGCCATGTGGGCTCCCAGCAACTCAAGCTATATTTTTAACTAGCAGAGTCAAGATATTCAGTTTGAGAGGAGGAAGCTGATGATTCAGACATGGCATTAATATTTGCAAGCCTAATGTGGCAACTAACTGGTTAGAGGACTGTTATTGGGCTGCAGACTTTCCCTAGTCTTCTGCCTGCTTTGGGGTTCTTATGCTCAAGCCCATCTCTTTTCATGAGATGAACCATCAACACAAAAGGCCTTTCAAGCTTGGATCTGAATCTTGAGTTATCAAGGAAATTACTCAGTGCAAGTGTTTTCCATCAAATGACTCAGCCAATGTGACCAGCTGCAGGTGTTTATCAGATCTCACATTATCTGGTATGGAATTGGTTTCTTCAGTTTATGTTTCAAAAGAAACACAGCAAGAGTAAAGCCAGCAACTGCCAGGGCCACAACAGCAATAATAAATGGTGCATGAGAAATATCAGCTGGAGCAGGAGCTGAATTCAGGTTCTCCCCGATGCCAGAAGAGTCCAGCTCTGGGAATGAAGAGATAGCAATCTGGTTACATGTGATCTGTCATCTTGTTATTTCCAAGACAGAGAATGAAAAAATTGCATTCTAGATCAGATTTTGAGCTTAACTGATTTTTTTTTTAACTCTGTTTCATGCAGGGTACTCTAGATGCAAGCAAGCTTTATATTAACAGAGCTTATTTATAGAAGTTAAACTGCAACTTAAACATTCTAATTTTAACCTTAAGGAAATGAAAAACAAACAAACAGCCAAAAAGCTTAAAGATAGCAAATTCATCAAGGAAGCTTTCAGAAGGCCTTTTTTTTTTTTTTTTTTTTTTTTTTAAAAGGGCAGCATGGCACCGAGAAGTCACAGGCAGTTTAGGAAGAGAGAAATTCCACAGAGTTACCTGTGCCATGTCTCATCAGACTCCCTGCAGAAGTGCTAAATTAGTATTTTTATTATATGTTGGTGAAGATAATGGATGTGAAATGTGATTAACAGGCATTAAATAGTAAGCACATTCCTAATACGTATTGCAGAGTTGCTGGTAATCCAGCAACAGCGTTGTTTCACTCAGATTAAACTGGCATTCAAAGATATTATCTGCCAAAGGAGATATAAAATCTTATTTTAAATTACCAGCATTCCTATTCTCAGCACCAGCTTCCTGAAGCCGAATTGGGCCAGCAACAGCACTCACTCTTTCTTGGGCAGAGCTTGCCTCTCTCTTGGACCTAGTAATACAACCTTGGTAGCATCTGGAAGAATAGTCATAGACCCTGCACACCACAAACTCACACCGCAGATAAACAGATGGATAGTTACGAACAAACTGGAAGGCACTGAATTTAAACCGGACCACGTGCGTGTATGGTGAGTAATATTTAGTATAGGTAGAATCTTTAGGACATCTGAAAAGAAACAAACAAAATCAACTCTCACGAACGCACTCAGCAGTCAGTCAGTTATTTACATGGAATATAACATGGAAAGAGATTGCAAATGTTATGAAGATGGGGACCCTATGTCTAAACTCCTATATTTTTTCCATCCTATGCAGCTCAGCCTCATCCCATTGCCAGAGGTTTGTAGCCACAGTGACAAGCTTGCCACCCTTCTGTGGATCTGATTAGCTATCTATTAGCTTCAGGGAAGCACCCTTGTAGATGGCAAAAAAACCTTCAGCTAAGTGTTCAAACAATGCAAATATTCCCCTTTGTTGTTGTTCTTGGTGGTTTTATTTTTTTAAACTGGATTAGTTAGTTTCCTGCCATGTGAGCTGGACCGATTTATTGTGCACCGAGTCAGCAGCGAAGCTACCTCATGGTCCAGGAGTTACCTTAGATAGAGCAAGGTGCTCTTCTTTGGCAGCACTAAGCTGTTATGTCTCCTCAAGCTGTCATGCACCAAGATACCTAGCGTATGCACGTTTTTCTGAAAGTGGATTACCCTTGCCTGAGACATGTCGCTATGTTACCTCCCTGCAAGGTAACCAGTCTGTGATCATCTAATCTATGTCACTTTAAGCTTTTTTATATTCTGGGTCAATCCTCCCTCCCCTGCAATCAACAATTCCCCCACCTTCCCCCACCCAAGTTACAATAATTAATAACAAGTTAGTATCATCATACTAATCCATTAAAAAAGGGTAGACTTCAAAGGTAGTTCTGCAAAAGAGCTTACCCGTTCCTGATTATATCATAGGTCACTGTTGTAAAATCATAGGGGTCAGGAGATGCCACACATGTGTCCACAAATAACACTAGATTTGAATCAGAGCTGCGCAGGTAAGCTTCAAGGAACAAATTCTGGTTGATATCAACATAGTATGGCGAGTCATACACTGGCCGTGAGAAAGATGCTGTGTGATAAAATGTAAGGTTCACATCGTATCTGCTATACTGAGTTTCATTGACTTCAAAATTATCCTCAGCAACATACATTATTTGTGTCCATGTGTTCTGGAGCATTTTGCAGTTGACATGCAAGTGGAGCCTTTTATGTCTTGTGATTACAGAACCAGAAGAGGATCCTCTAATAAGGTTGGAATAGATTATTGTATTGTTGTTCCCCTGTTTGGCATATAAAATGCAAAATTAACTTGCACAGTCAGGTTTCCTGTTATGCATTCTAAACTTTACTATATCGTTACAGTAATGTGCATAGTAAATGTGTCATTTCCGTGGAAGTCAGATAGGGAGAAGTCTAAATCTAGCCATTTCTGTTCTCAGGACAGGAATCTTAACCATATGCAACGTTCAGTGACTACAAGTGATCTAGGAAGCTACTCACACTAAACCCAGATATAACTGAATTAAATGCCACCTCTAAAATGCTTTGAACGCTGTATGAACGTTCTGATCCAGCATAGTATTTAAGCTGAAATCTGACTTAAAACACATTAAGTCAGATTAAGTTAAGGCTTTCAAGACCTGCTTAATTATCACACTCATCTTGGAACCTTGTCAATGACAACTAGTTGCTTCTTCCCACACTTTTTTCCTTAGAAGGAAAATCAAGAAGCTGTAGTGAATGCCCTGACAGTCAGCGAAGGAAATGTCAGTGTTAATAAACTTTATCCCTCAGAAGAGGGGGAAGGAGCCCACAGTCGCGGGGACACTGCCAGGCCCTGCAAACCACAGTAGAGCTTTCAGGCCCTCATGCTTTTCCAAGTTTGAATTCTTCAGCTTGATTTTTCACACATTTACACAAAATATTTACACATTTTGCTGAATCACTTAAAATCATACCTTTCTCACTGTGCCGCAGCTATCGTATGGTATGTCGAATATAACATATTGAGGGGTCATGTTGGGTTTGCAATATGAGTCACTCAAGGAGAGATTCGAAGCCGAGTAGCCCTCTGACTGAAGAAAGGCTCTGCTCACAACTGCACGCATGTAGTCTGGCAAACACAAAAGTGCTAACGGATGGGAAAAAGCACGTGTTACAAGCTCATCAAAGCAACCAAAAGTGGTTGTATGCTGTGACTTAAGTAAGTAGTTCTTCTTTTGCAGAAGCAGCTGGTATTGCAGAAGGAGTTCAGAAACTAAACCATACGCTTGCATCTCTACTAAATGCTATCAATCTACTAGATAGTGAGGTACTGGCTAATTTCAAAATAGGTACTGGCTTTCTCCTTTCTGTGCTTTGAGATCATCAGTGTCAAAGGTTAAACATATTTTTGTATAACACATCACACGAAAACCCGTAATAAGATGCTTTTCACACTATTTTGATTTTTTTTCCCTAAGTAAGATGAAGGCCCGCTACAAAGAAGAACAATCAAAAAGTTTTCAATATTCTAATAGACAGCGGTCTTAGCCACAGTGGGAGGTAACACTAAACCATGAGAAGCAAACAGTAAGATGGAAAACGTATTATGGTTCAGGTTCTGCAAGCTCCCATTACACTAACTGGCCAAGGGATCTCTTTATTATACTATTTATCATCATCAACATGTGGTTTGCTTGACCTCTCTTAAGCCCTAATAGACATGAATGCTCGCAGATAAGATGCGAATTCAGTGTCTGTAAATGTAAAGTCTGAGGCCTTCAGCTTCTACTGGATCCCATAAGCACTGCTAGGATAAAAACAACTTTGAAAACATCACAAGTTGCCTTGAATTAATACGAAGGGTTAAGGGTCTGAAGAGTAGTTGCATTCAAAGTAGCAGGTATTAAACACTTCAGAGATATTGCCAAACGGCAGGGAATGTAAAAAGCTTTATGCAATGAGAAGGGAGAAACTATTCTAGCCATTGCTAGAAGTCATGTATATCAGTTTAGAGTACTGGCATATATGGCATATGTTGGTATTTTGCAATGTTACACCAAAAGACTATAACCAGTATGTTGGAAAGGAACATGGACCTCCCTCATAATATGGAAATAGAGAATATTAAGATGACATAAGAATACAAGTTTAGTTTGAACCTCACAGAAAACATCTGAAATAATTTAATAAAAAAAAAATCTTTTCAGGTATATACCTTTTCAGGTAAACTTAATTGTAGTGTAACAGTGATTGATCAACAGTTAAACAGATAACAGCAAATGGGTAATTAATTGAAGTGATACAACAAGATTAACAAACAATGAATTAGCAAATAATTGAGAAGCTGGCTTCTGTATTAAACGTGAACTTACTAGTGCTCTGATCTGCTGGAATGGAATAGTAGTCAGCCTGAAACCCTCTGTATGTGTATCGAGAGTTACTGTGAAAGTGGACTGTCATCAGATTTGAGGAAGAAGTGTATGTGCGAAGAAACCCAGAACAGATTTTCCCAAGGAGAGGAGAAGTACGGAGCGGCCCATCATAGATTTCCACATAGTCAGACAGGCATCTACCACCTTGCATCCTGGGGAGTAAATATGACCATTTAGTTAAATAATTTGACTTAAAAAAAAAAAAGTAACTGATGCCACATCAGTCAGCAAAGTAACTGATGACAGAATATTATACTGAGAGGACTATCAAATCTCTGGAATAGAAAGTACAACCTTCAATTTCTGTTTTATTAGATGCCATCCACATTATTAAAACTAACTAAGCAAAATTGGTTTAAATTTTCATCTTAAATGTACTGAGACCTTTGAATAACATCCTTGAAATCAAGAAGCTAGCAACCTAATAAGCCCAAGATGTTGATCCCACAATTTTCCCAAGAAGTAAATTTCTACTTACTGAACATCTCTAAATGTGAGTGTGATGCGAAAATTGTTTGTTACTTGTATTTCCCAAACACAGTCAGCATTGTTTGGATAATTTCCAGGGTAAAATGGACTCTGTAATGTCCCAGATGAATATGAAAGCAAGCCACCACAAGAATAATTTGCTGCAGAGAAAAATGTGAGAAGAGAGATATATATATATATATATATATAATTCAAGGTTATATACATACACACACACAATGTATATATACTATGCTTTTGGAATATGTCTACGCAGAGTTTATAAGTTTAAAAGTTAGAGGCAGTAACATCTGGCTTTAATTAGATGTTCTTTCATTTCATGCCTTTCATTTCATTCATTGCATCACTCACAATTAAATCCGGTTCCTATCTATTACAATTGCTAATGACAACAGGGAAGAAGAAAATCAGTTAAAGTTCTGTTGTTTTCAAACTGTAGAGTGTTGACAAATATCCTGTATTATGAATATGAAAACATTATGTCATAATCAAAAAACTGGACAAAATTTGTATGAGTTTGCAATCTAATGAAATATCAGAGGAATCAAGTTTGTGGGCTTCAATCTAAAAGTTTAGAAGTGAAAAAGACAGTCATGAATTTCCAAGATACTTTTCAATACAAGCAGAAGACATTCATAGAAAAGAAAAATGTGTAAATAGACATCATCATTTGAATTAGAATCCAAATGAAAAAGTCTTCCAGTAAAAAAATAAAATCAAAGGAGAGAGTGCAAAAGAGCGAAGAAAGATAAGGATATAACTATAAAGAAAAAAATCCTACTGACTACAGAAAAAAAAAGAGAGAGAGAGAAAAGATCTGAACAACAAGGCAGATGCAGTGATCTAGGTGAATGACAGCTTTGTATTGCCCATAAATAATTTTGTAACAAATATCCAGTATATATATGTATACACACACAAATATGCACAAAGATACAACAAATATCTATACTACAGATGTGAAAAGATGTATTTACATAACTTTTAATCTAAAGAATGAGCAAGATATCTACATAGAAAGACATATGGAGGACTATGAGATTTGCAAATTTTCATTTCAACTTCTGGCAAACATGACAAAAGATTTCTATCACTAATGACCCTAAACATAATTATGTGAACAAATAAAAATTCAAAATATATGCTATCTAAAAATGATATGCTTGAATGCAAAGCTGAGATAGGAATTAGTCATATTTACACAGCAGTGGACAATGATACCTACTTGCTAAGCAATTGTGAAATTACTGCTAAACTGCCAAAAATTAACTGACTCTACTGGGTGCAAACTCATCTGCATTATTACTTTGGGGTAGCAATTTGAGGCAATAGTTTACCTGGTAGTAGATGAAGGGGAATACGCATGAAAATTATGAGCAGTAACATTCCCCTCAGCTACTACAGCTAGGGGACGACAAAAAAAGAAACTTCTCTGCCTGCAGTAAAGGCAGGAAAAACAGCAATGCCCATCCATCTAGTGACAACAGTAGGCAGAGATGGATATGGTCCAGTCCTAATCCCGATCAGCCAAAGAAACAGCATTCTCAAAACAGTTTGAATGACACCCTGTCCTGAAAGGATGTCCCTGAGTCTAAACACCTGGCAGCCGGGCAAGAAGCAGCTGGATTCACAAAGCTGCCACAAACAGCAAGAAACCCTTTAAGAAAGGGTTTGCATTTTAGTCCCGGTAAATAATAAAAGATTGCCCTGGCTGTGAAGATATTTACATTATCACAGTTGGGAGAGGAGTAATAGTAGCCCTCAACTATGATCAGAGTATTCTTGACCAGAGGCCAAAGAAGAAAGCAGACAAGGACCTCCCCAGCAAGGGGGCCTGTGCTCTCCGCTTTGGCCACCCTGCTCTCCTGCAGAGAAACGGGAGGCCGTGGGCCCTCGCAGCCTTCCCACGCACCACTGTCCCCAACATCCCCGTGAGAAAAGCCTCCGGCACAACTTTGGTCACAGCCCCACCTCGGGCTCCCGAGCAGATGCACAGAGAGACGCGCAGGCAGCAGCTCGCGCACCGATCCCGGTGCCCGGGGGATGACGCCCCGGCAGGCACACTCACCATCAGCTATGACGAGATCTGTGGGGAAACACAAACACAGACAGAAACACACCCGTGAAACAACCGCAGCAGCACAGACCCCTTGGGAGCAAGTAAGCAGGCTCCTGCAACACGCACCCGCTCCCACTCCCAGGAGAAAGCCGAGACGCCTCTGCTTTGGGCTGGAGGCTCCTTCGGAGCCTCCTGGACCCAGGCAAAGAGGGGCAAAAGGGCTTTCTGGCCACGGGGGACCCTGGCAATCCTTTCCCCAAGCCCCCTTCTGCTCTCAAGGCTCCCTTGCAAAAACAGACAGACAGACAGACAGACAGACAGAGCGGATCACTCATTTCAAAGATTTTGTTACGCTCGATGCATTCCTCAACTCATCAGAAAGAGCCACCAATCACTGTCTTCCATGAGCAGTTCTCCATAAACGCACACGATGAGCAGTTATCAGCCACACCATGTACGATCTGAATAACATCCCACCAATGCTTCTGAATAGTGTCCTGCAAGTGATGTCCCAGCAGCAGGCAGCATGCTAATCGTGTAAGACTATGGTTCCCACTATCTTTTAAAATGCAAAAAAAAAATTGAGAGTCACACTTACAGGTGGTGGGCTCAGTAGTTGTTGTTGGGGGAGCTGTAGTGGTTGTTTCTTCCAGCGGAAAAGAAAAAAAAGAAAAAACGATACGTGACACAGTGCTGGGCTGTCGAGCAGGCCAGTATGATGTGAAACCTCCCAGGTTCCTGTGCCAGCCCCTGGCAACGTGTGGCTGAGACAGGCTGGTGTCAAGAGGTTTATTTTCATTTTAGTAGACCTCAGCAGGCTTCTCCTCTATTAGAGTATCATAATATCTCACATGCATGATTTCCCAGCAGCTGGTTGGGTGGTGAAAATATAAAGCTACGTTTCGTACCCCCATTAAGCCTAGCACGAAAAAAAGAAAATTGAAAAACCCGAATAAAGTCTCACCAGTAGTGGTTTCAGTTGTTGTCAGCGAAGGTGTACTTGTCCATTCTAGAGAAAAATAAATGCACACAGTGAAAGCACATTTTTGAACATATAAACACAGCCCTGGATCATAATAAAAGAGATCCCCTTGGCCAGACTGAGGCAACTACAGCCCGTCACCAGGACGAGAATTACCAGGAAAGGAAGACAGCCACAGTTCTTAAAAGGAGGAGGCTGAGGAGAAAGAAGAGTCTAGTAGAAAACAGAAGCCCCTGAACCAACTCAGTGTCAACAGCCAACTGGCTTAACTGAGATCCATCTTGATGTGGAGTACAGAGGCCCTCAAAACAGAGAGTTAATAAACTCAAGGGATAAACTCCACTCACGCAAGTACCGCTCATTAGCAAAGCCCAGTTCCCCATCCCACGCGGCTGCCCAGCAGAGCTGCCTTCACATCGCCCCAGCCGGCCCCCCTGGCCTGCAGCCGCGGCCCAT